ATGTGCACTTAACATTTATATAAAACTCTCTTTTATACATGAGTTTTTGTGGATTTGTAATTCTAAAATTTCTAAACTAACACACTCAGGTGCTGTTCGAAATTCCCTTCACTGGTGTCTTTAGGAATTTTACTTTCTTGAGCTCCATATTATTCTCTACCCAAAACATTGCCAGGTGGGGATACTCGACTTCCGTTAAAACACTGTCGGGACAGTTCATGTGTTTCACCACAGCGTTTCCACAAGATTTTCTTTTACATCAGTTCAATGGTGTCACCAGCGGTTTCACATACCTCAGCTCCACATATACCTCCAGGAGATTCATGAATATAAATAGAGAATGCTTCTAGTGCTTAGCCTGCCTCTACTCAAAGGGGCCTCAAACAGATTCACTTAACTCAGCTCATCCCTTACCTCCTGGACTTGCTTGGATGTGAAGGAAAACAGTAAATCCTGCATTTCCTGGGCAGCCCTTCTGGATTGCCTCACTGAGCGTTACTTTTGTCATTTCAAGAGTGCCCCCAATACTTCCTTATCTGTGGTCAGCAAGCATTACAATTTCCCATATTCCTGAGGATATGGGAAATTTGAAATCTGCAGCTTCCTGTGCATCCAAATTATATTTACCAATGGAGCTTTGTGTATCTTCTTGTGTTTCACAACAAGGTTTGCTCACTGGGGTAGTTAGCTTATGGTCCCATGTGGCTGATAAACTCAGATGGGGTTAATTAAAGGGCAGAGGGATAGCATGTCTTGGTGAATCTCGCCTATCGAGTTCTCCATCTCTCGCTTTGTGAAAGTCAGTCCAGGGTGAAGTTGCCTTAGCTAGGTGACTGCTTTTGTTTCCAAGGCTCACTTCCTGCAAGACATCTCTGATCAAAAGCCACAATGGCTCTATTCAAGCAAAGGGAGGGCTAGGTGCAGGCTGGGGACAGGCAGCAGGCTTCCGCAGGTAGCATAAGTCGACAAAGGAGAAACCACTAAAGGGGCTGAGGAAACTTGCTTCAATGTATTTAATACCCTTTAGGCTTTAGCACTATTTTAACTGGCACAGGGCATTGAGGATCTCTGGGCCATGGACCTCACTGGGATGTGCTGGGTCTGGTCAGGGTGGGAAATGAAATCTTACTGTTTGAAGTAACTGGGGAAATAATGAATCTGACTGTTTCTCTTTTAGACAAATTTCACAAGAAGATAAAAATTGGGAAGCCAACATCCAGGAGCTGCAAAAGAAGGTACTGCATGCTCTCTTTTCAGGGGTTTCTGATCCAACTCCCAGACAAGAGGGTAATCCCTTTCTTTACCTCACAGGACGCTTTAACGGAATGCCATTTTCCTCTTTATTCTTTAGTGGAACAAACCACATAGTCTATTTTCCTGAGTTGATGGGAAAAAACATTTTCATTGCATAGTGGAGCCGTTTTGTTAAGAATTAGGTAGTTAAAATGTTTGTACTCCGGATGTGTTTAGGCAGGTATCCAAAAGCTGTTATAGGATGTGTGAGATGGGACCCTTCTTCAATCCTCCCATTACCCAGGAAACATTCGGCCCTGCGGTGGGGTAACTTGTTTCTAGGGGTTTCTCTCACATTTGCCTGGCCCACTTTGCTAGACC